CCCCCGCTATGACGCACCAACATACACATTCTTAGTGTCTGCCCCATCCTCTCCTCTCCTCTCTTTGCTATTGGCCACTGAACCCCATGGGGTCCTTAACTACTGAGCTACATCCCCCTTTTTGTTTTTTACTCAGGGACAGGAGCTCATTAAGCTGCTCAGGCCCTCGCTAGATTGCTGAGGCTGCTTTGAACCTGCGATTCTCCTGCCTCAGCCTCCGGAGTTGCTGGGGTTACAAGTGGGCGCCACTGCGCCTGGCACAGTGGTAAGGGAGATTAAAAAATGCCTTCATTGTCTAATACCCTATTAGGTTCAGCCAAAAATTATTCTAAGTACAAGTTTAGTGGTAAAATGGCACGTCTTGTAATTTGAGCAAAACAGAGGGGTAACAAATTGGGGTGGTGCGTGTGTGCTTGAGGGGAGGTAAGCCCTCAGTTTTTCTCAAGGAACCCTTCCCGAACAAAGCAAGTCTCTTCATCTCCCTCCTCATCCACTTCCCTTCCTCCACCTCCCTCATCTCTGAGCAAGTGTGCTTCTCTTTTAAAACCGACAAGCACCCCTCGTGTAAAAAACATATTTCTGAATCTACCTACTTTCATTTATATTAAACACAACTTCAAACTGTTATTTTGAACTTTAGTCCAGAGCCAACGGGTTCATTATAATATTCCTTTTGGCTTATTTGTAACTTCTTTTTCTTTTTTAAACATTTTTTAGTTGTGGACGGACATAATAACTTTAATTAATTAATTTATTTAATGTGGCGTTAGGCAGGCTCTGTACCACGGATCCACAACCCAAGCCCTGTAACTTCTTTTCCTGCAAGAGATATCTGGCTCTTACACTCTACAACATACTTATTTATTCAACATTAATACACAAATAAAACAGCGTCAGAGTCCATAGTCTACTTAAATCCACTTACCTAAACCAATCAGATTACAGTGTTTGAGTAACTTGTTTTTGACTTTGGCCTTATAATATCTAGTTGAAACCGTTTTATAGGCTGCATCCACTGCTGGAATGAAGACTTTTATTAGCAATCAGTGTCAACATTCCAGAAAATACTGATATTACTCTGAAGGGACAGAATTACTCATAGAGGCCCCAGAGCAAGATTGTGGAAGGACTTCAATCACATATTAACATAGACCTCGGTCTTCTTGGGAAGAAAAGGAGGCTCTGGGTTGATCAATGGGGACAGAGAGAATGAAAATCAAGTGGTGATGGTTCACAGTATCTGTAGTCACTGAGGCTAGTATGATGGTGTGAGGATTTTGTTTGGTTGTTGTTGTTGTTTTACTAGTAAAACAAAATAAAACAACAAAACCAAACAAAACTATCCCACTGTTTGGATGAGGCCAGGCATTGTTTATTCAGTATCTCAAACTCAAAAAGATGAGTTAATGATTGAAGTTAATTTTTGTAGATACACTTTAGTAAAGATAGATCCTGTGTTACCCTAAGGATTTTTTTTTTGTTTCTATTTTTGTTTACATGAATCAAGAAATTTTGTCAAGTGCTTTTTCTGCATCAGTTGGGATGATGTACAAATAGTTCTTCAGTCCCCTTTATGGTGAATTACACAGTTAATGATTTTCAAATTGATTTTGGTTCACTGATTTTCTTTTATTTTTTTAATAGAATTCTGTTCTAATCATTAATATTGCTTCCTTAGTCTAGCATTCAGGAGGCCCGGGCTTTGATCCTCAGTACTGTGAGAAAAAAAAAAAAATCCTCTCTTTTTATTACTTTGAGTTTGATTTGCTCTTACCCCCTCCAGCCCTTTACTTTCTAATCTATATGACTATTTTTTTTTCTTCCCTTAATGTACAGGCTAGGAATATCAATACAATGCTAATAGAAGAGACGAGAGGGTATGTTCTTACCTTATTCTCAAATACAAAAGAAGTTACAAATTCAGTGAAAATTAGAACATAACTTTTAAAAAGTTGTGTTGTGCAATTAAAATGCTTCACAGAAATGTAGGTCCTTGCATGCTAATGTTCATCCTGGAAGAGACGCTTCTTTTTCCCCCCACATTTATTGGTGCATTACATTTATTGTGTATTATGTACATACTGATGAGATTTGTTGTTACATATTTGTTCATGCACTTAATACACAATATAATTGGGCCAATATCACTTCCAAGCACTTCCCCCTCCCTCTGAACCTCTAACCCCTTGGTCTCTTTCCTCTACTGATCTCCCTTTGATTTTTTTTTTTTTAATATTTATTTTTTTAGAAGTAGTTGGACACAATACTTTTATTTTTATATGATGCTGAGAATCGAGCCCAGGGCCTTGCATGTGCTAGGTGAGCGCTCTACAGCTGAGGCACAACCCCAGCCCTCACTTTGATTTTCATGAGATCCACCCCCATTTTTCTTTTCCTTTTTCCTCTCCAGCTTCCACATAAGAGAAAACACACGACACTTAACCTTCCCAAGTTTGACTTCATTTAACTTAGCATAATGGTCTCTAGTTCCATCCATTTTCCTGCAAATGTCATAATTTCATTTTTCTCTATGGCTGAATAAAACTCCATTATGTATAACCGCATTTTATTTATCCGTTTATCTGTTGATGGACACCTAGGCTGATTCCATAGTTTGGCTCTTGTATTACTGTAAAAACATGGCAATGCATGTATGATGACTTTTAATTCTTCAGAATACCGAGGAGTGGAATAGCTGGGTCATATGGTGGTTCCATGCTTAGTCTTTTGAGAAGCCTCCATACTGATGTCCATAGTGGTTGAATGTCCATAGTGGCAGAATTTCCAATTCTGCCAACAGTGTAAAAGTGTTCCTTTTTCTCCACATCCTCCTCAGTATTATTATTTGTATTTTTGATGACTGCCATTCTGAGTGGTTTGAGATGAAATTTCAGTGTAGTTTTGATTAGCCTTTCCCTAATTAAAATCAGCACTTCTAAGGCATAAAAACAATATAAGCCCAAAGTTGGTAAAAGAAAGAAGGAAACAAAGAGTGTATATCTTCCAGATCTTGTACATATTAAAATACTAATAATGGTGTATTATGAACAACATGTCAATCTTTTTGACAATTTAATTAAATAGATTATTGGAAAGACACAAAAGAGAATGTGTAGCCATGTTCAATAATTTCTTGCTCTTCCTTCAGAGTAGCTGTTCTCTTCCCCCAATTGTGTCACTTAAGATGGTTTATGTCAGGATTTCCCATCTTTTCTGAAAGCATCCAGTTGAGTTAATGGAGAAAATATCTGCTGCAACCCAGTCCAGGGGCATACTGGAGGAATGTGTGGTGGGAGTTGGGCGTGGTGGGAGTTGGGCCTGGTGTGGCAGGAAAGATGTTCTGGTTGACTTTGAATAGGGCCATGCTGAGGCATTTCTGTGAAACTTCAGACAATATTTCTTATTAGTACCCTCCCAAGAGGGATGGGACAATGGGAAGCAGGCTAAGTCTTAGGGTAGAAGGAGAAGTGTGCATTGCTTCTTGCTTCCTTGGTTTTGCAAGAAGAATGCCTCCTGTCTAGATTCTTAATGTAGAAGTATAGTACTAATTTGAGTTCTAATTATTTATATCATTTAATGCCATAAATTTCCATATAAGCACTAATTTACTGCACACATTTTGATATACTGTATTTTCATTTTCAGAGTATCTCAAAGTATTTTTTCCTCTAAGATTTCCTCATTTATCCATGCCCTATTTTGAACTATATTTAATAGCCAATTATTTGGAGATTTTCTAGGTATCTTTCTGTGCTTTATTTCAACTTTTAGTCAGCTATGGTCTGAGAACATGCTTTGAATGACTTCCACTGTTTGAAAATTGCTGAGGCTTGTTTTATGTTCCAATATATGATCTATCTTGATGAATGCCCACATGTACTTGAAGAAGATATGTAGGGGCTGAGGTTGTGGCTCAGTGGCAGAGTGCTCGCCTAGCACATGCAAAGCTCTGGGTTCGATCCTTAACACCATATAAAATAAATAAATAAAAAACAAAGGTATTGTGTCCATGTACAACTAAAAAAAATTTTTTAAAAAGATGACATGTAGTTGGCTGTTTGGTATTCTATAAATGTCAAATGTCTGTTGAAAAACTGACATTCAACATTTGAATACTGATGTTTTGAGGGGGGTCTTCTGAAATTTTATCGATTTTCTTCTTTCATTTTCCATCAATTAATGAGAGAGGGGTTTGGTTTCCTTATTCTTTGCTATGAAAAAGGAATTAAGTCCTTAATAATTGTGTGTATGCCTATTTCTCCTTTCAATTCTATCAGTTTTTGCATTTATTTTGAAGCTCTGTTGTTAGCTACATATACATTAACAAGTATTATCCCTTCTTAGAGAACTGCTCCCTTGATTATTATGTAATATCTCTCTGATGATATTACTTGTTCTAAAGCCTACTTTGTCTAATATTAAAATCGACTCTCTATTTACCATTCAGCTTGAGAGAGAGAGAGAGAGAGAGAGAGAGAGAGAGTGTGTGTGTGTGTGTGTGTGTGTGTGTGTGTGTTTGGGTACTGGGGATTAAACCCAGGGCCTTGCACTTATAAAGCATACACTCTACCAGTAAACTACTCCCCAACCCCATCTGTATGTTTAAAATGGTTTCTTATAGATAGCAGCTAGACAAATGCTTTTATGAAAGGTGGTAAGCTCTATCTTATCTTTTAACTGATGTGTTATTTAATAGTGATATTTAAATTGATTATTGAGATAGTTGAATTAAGGTCCACCATCCTCCTGGTTATTTTCTATTTGCTAGAAACAAACAAAACAAAAAACAAAAACTTCCTTTAGCATTTCTTATAGAGAAGGTCTGTGGAAAATGAATTTATTTGTCTAAGGAAGTCCTTATTTTTCTTTCTTTTTAAAATTTTATTTCATCGTGGTCAGGAAACTTGAGATCTTAAGTGTATGATACATTATTGTTGATTAAAGGTACAATGTATAACAGATCTACAGAGTTTATAAATCATGCTTGACTCAAACTTTATGCCCACTAATAACTCCACATTTTCCCTGTCGTCAGCCCCTAGGCTAGTTCTATAGTTTGGCTGGCAACTGTGATTCTATGAATTTGACTATTTAACATACCTCAAATAAGTGAAACCATGCAGTACTTATCTGTGGCTGTTTCACGTTAGCATAATTTCTTCAAATTTCATTCTTCTTGTGTACCACATTTTCTTTATCCATTAATCTGTTTATGGATATTTAGGCTTTTTCCATATCTTGGATATTAAGTGCTGCAATGAACATAGCAGTGATAAAATCTCTTCAAACTTCTCTGATTTCATTATTATGGATGTATACCCAGAAGTGGGATTATTTAATCATATGGTAGTTCTATTTTTAATTAAAAAAAAAAGTATTTTTAGTTATAGATGGACATAATACCTTTATTTATTTTTATGTGGTGCTGAGAATTGAACCCAGTGCCTCACACGTGATAGGCAAGTGCTCTACCGCTGAGCCACAACCCCAGCCCCTGTATTTTTAATTGTTTAAGGAGCTTCAAAAGGCTATACCATTTTATATTCCCACCAACAGTATAAAGAATTCTAATTTCCCCATATCCTCACCAACACTTGTTACCTTTTGATTTTTTTAAAAAAATATTTATTGTTTTTAGGTGTAGATGGACACAACACAATGCCTTTATTTTTATGTGGTGCTGAGGATCGAACCCGGGTCCTGCCTGCGCTAGGTGAGCACTACCGCTGAGCCACAATCCCAGCTCCTTGATTTTTTTTTTATAATAACCACCTGTTAGGTGGGGATGATATCTCATTTTGTTTTTTATTTTATTTGCATTTCCCTGATAATGTTGTTGACCATCTTTTCATATACCTGCTGGCCATTTGCATGTATTCTATTTCTGTTTTTACAACTGAGTTGTAGAAATTCCTTATACATTTTGAACAATGACCCTTTCTCAGATATATGGCATGCGAACCCTTTTCACAGTTTGACTTTTCCCTCTGTGCTTTTCTCTACTGTGCAGAAACCTTTCATTTTGATGTAGTCTCACTTGTTTCAGCTTTTCTTACCTGTGATTTTTTAAATTTATTTTTTAATTGGACACAATACCTTTATTTTACTTTTTATTTGTATGTGGTGCCGGGGATCTAACCCAGTGCTTCATGTGTGCTAGGCAAGCATTCTACCACTGAGCCACAACCCTGGCCCCTCTATACTCTATTTTTTAAAAATATTTTTTCAGTTGTAGATGGACACAGTACTTTTATTTATTCACTTTATGTGGTGCTGGGAAATAAACCCATTGCCTCACACATGCGAGGCAAACACTCCACCACTGAGCCACAACCCCAGTCCCCTATACTCTATTTTGAAATCTGTGTGATCCATTCAGATTTGTTCAAGATTGATTTACATATTTGTAGTTTTTTGTGGTTTCATGTGATTTATAAAACTTTTTCTATTTTGGCATTGACTCTGTAGATCACTTTAAGTAGTATGGACATTTTAACAATATTTGTATAACCCACTAACATTGGACATCGTTCCGCTTTTGTTGTTCAATTATTTTCCCCAAGATTTTGTGGTTTTCAGTATATTAGTCTTTCAATTCCCTATTTAAGTTTGTCCCTAAGTATCTTATTCCTTTTAGTGCTACTGTATTTTTCTTAATTTCTTTTTCTAATAGTTCATAATTAGCATACAAAAATGCAAGTGATTTTTTGCATGTTGATTTTATATCCTGCAATTGTAGTGAACTCATTTCTTCTTTTTTTAAAGATCATGTTATACTGCAGAGACAATTTTATTTTTTCCTTTCTTTTTGTTTTGGTGGGGAGGCTGGGGATTGAACCCAAGGGCACTTAACCAGTGAGCCACATCCCCAGCTCTTTGTATTTTATGACAGGGTCTCACTAGGTTTCTTAAAGCCTCCCTAAGTTGCTCAGGCTGGCTTCAAACCTGCAAACTTCCTGCCTCAGCCTCCTGAGCCAATGAGATTACAGGCGTGTGCTACTGTGCCTGGCTTATTTTTTCCTTTCTGATTTAGATGCCTTTTCTTTCTTTGCCTTTTCTAATGGCTCTGGGCATATATTCAATATGATGCAAATTTCCAGTACTACGTTAAATAGAAGTGGCAAGACTGGCTAATCTTAATACTGATTTTAGAGGAAAAGTTCTCAACTTTTTATAGTTAAGTATGGAGTAAGCCATGAACTTGTCATATATGGCCTTTATTATGTCGATATACATTCCTTGTATACCTAATTTGTTTCAATGTTTTCTCATAAGAGTGTCAAATTTTGTTAAATGTTTTTTCAGCATCTATTGAGATCATGTGACTTTATTCTTTTTTTGTTGTTGTTCCTTGTTAACATGGTATGCTGCATAAACTGATTTTCATATTTTGAACCTTCTCAAGGATAAATTCCACTTGATCATGCTCTATAACCTTTTAATGTGCAGATTCAGTTTTCTAGTATTTTGAATTGCCTTTGTATTCCTAAGGAATGCTAGCCTGTAGTATTCATTTTTTGTGATCTTTTTCTGGCTTTGGTATCTTGTTAATTTGGATCTCATGAGTTTGGAAGTGTTCTGTCCTCTTCAATGTTTTGGGAGATTTCTGAGAAGGATTTGCACCCTTCTTTAAATGTTTTGTATAATTCACCAGTGAAGTCAGTTGGTCCTGAGCTGTTTTCTTTTGGCAGGGGTAAGGACTTTGATAACTAATTCAATCTCAATAGTAGTTAAGTCTATTTATTCATTATTTAGTCTTAGTAGGTTCTAAGTTTCCATCTTCTAGGTTATCCAGTTTGCTGAGTATTGTTCACAGTACTCTCTTATGATCTTTTAAATTTCTGTGTCATCAAATGTATAACTTCACTTTTATTTCTGATTTATCTAAGTCTTCTGTTTATTTCTTTTAATTTTCCTCAGTCTAACCAAGGGTTTGTCAATTTTATTTTTTTCAAAAAATACTGTTATTTTTCATTGATGTAATTTTTCTATTTAAACTCTCATTTCTTCTTTTTGCTATCTTTGGTCTTAGTTTGTTCTTCTTCTAATTCCTTGAGATTTAAAGTTAGGTGTTTATTATTTAAGATCATTTTTTCTTATTTATTTATTGGTACTAGGAATTGAACCCAGGGACACTACCACTGAGCTATATCCTAGCCCAACTTTTTATTTTGAGACAGGATCTCACTAATTTGTTTAGGGCCTTATTAAGTTGCTGAGGCTGGCCTCTTGCAATATCCCTGCCTCAGTCTCCTCCCGAATCACTGGGGATTACAGGTGTGGGCCACCCGTCTGGCCTTATTTCTTTTTAGTGTAGTGATTTATTGCTATGATCCACTCTTAGTCCTTTTGCTATATCCCATAAGTGTTCACATGTTGTACTTTTGGTTTTGTTGATCTCAAATATTTTCTAATTTTCTTCTTTGAGCTAATGGTTGTTTCAAACTCTGTTAATGTCAATGTATTTGTGAATTTTTCAGTTTTCTTTTTGATATTGATTTCAAATTTCATTCCATCACGATCAGAAAAGATTCTTAGTATGATTTCAATATTCTTAAATTTGTTAAGGTTTTGTGATCTAACATGTGATGTATCCTGGAGAAAGGTCCATTTGTGCTGAAGAATAGGTATTCTGTTGCTGTTGGGTAGAACATTCTATGTATGTTAGGTCCAGTTGGCCTATAGTGTTATTAAAACCCTGTTTCTTTATTGATCTTCTCAATGGATGTATCATTTATTATTAAAAATTAGGTATTAAGCTGGGTGTGGTGGAACATGACTCTAATCCCAACTAAGACAAAGAAGGAAAAAAAAGAAGAGGAAGAACGAAGGAAGAAAAAGAGGAGGAGGGAGAAGAAAAAATGTGATATTTAAGTTTCTTACTATGTTATTGCCATGCAACTCTCCCTTCAGTTCGGTCAATGTTTCCTTTATAGATCTGGGTGTTCTGGTGTTGGATGCACATATATTTATAACTGTTATATCTGCCTTTTCTCGTTATAAAATGTCCTTCAACTCGAGATAAATTTTGACTCAGTTTTTTTTTTTTGTCTACTCACCCTGCTCTCTTTGAGTTACAATTATAATTTGTATTATTATTATTATTTTATTTATTTATTTTAAAATATTTTCTTAGTTGTAGATGGACACAATATCATCTCCTACTTCTTTTTATGCTGCGGATCAAACCCAATGCCCCACACGTGAGGCAGGCACACTGCCACTGAGCTACAGCCCCAGCCCAAATTTGGATTACTTTTTTTCCCCATCTCTTCGCTTTCAGCCTATTTATGTCCTTAAATAATAAGTGAGTTTCTTGGGCAGCATATACTTGGGTCTTGTTTTTACATCCATCTACTCAGTCTGTGTCCCTTGGTTGAGGAGTTTAATCCATTTACTGTAATTATTGTTAGAAAAGGATTTTTCTATTGCTATTTTGTTAGTTGTTTTCTATTAGTCCTGTTACTTCATTTTTTTCTCTCTTGATGTCTTCCTTTGTGTTTTGCTGATTTTTTTGTATTGATGTGTTTTGACTCCTTTCTCTTTTTGTTTTGCATAACTTCAATAGTTTGCAAGTATGGTTGGTTGCCTGAGGGCCATTTTATATATACACAGAAGTCTATATTAAGGTTATAATAGCTTAAGTTCAATTACATACAAAAATATATTTTAACTTTTCTTCCACACACTTTGTTATTGCTCTCACAATTTACATCTATTCATATTATGTATCCTTTAACATATTTTATTTATTTTTAATACTTTTGTCTTTTAACAGTTACACTACAATTGAAAGTGATTTGCCTGTCCTTACAATAATACAGTACACATTCGTCTATATATTTAACTTAATAAGTTTCCTTTTTTTTTTTTTGTACCAGAGATTTTGAGACAATGTCTCACTAAGTTGCTTAGTGCCTTACTAAAATGCTGAAGTTAGCCTTGAACTTGCAAACCTCCTGCCTCAGCTTTGCAAATCACTGGGATTACAGGTATGTGCCACCACGCTCAGCTTGTCTTCTCTTTTTTTTTTTATTGGGAGTTGGGGGTTGAACTCAGGGCTTTGAGAATGTTAAGCAAACATTTTATCACTGAGCTACATTCCAGCCTTAGTTTCCTCCTATCTTATATTATCATGTTGAATTTAGTGCTTTTCCATTTTAACTTGCTAGTGGTGGTGTGGTGAATTATCTTTTATTTGGGAGGTTTTATCTCGCCTACATTTTTAAAATTATCATTATTTTTTAGTTGTAGTTGGACACAATACCTTTATTTTATTTGTTTATTTTTATGTGGTGCTGAGGATCAAACCCAGGGCCTTGCATGTTCTAGGCAAGTACTCTACCACTGAGCCACAATCCCAGCCCTCGCCTACATTTTTAGAAGTATTTTTTAGTTGTCAATGAACCTTTATTTTATTTACTTATATATGGTGCTGAGAATTAAACCCAGTGCCTCACACCTACTAGGGCTCTACCACTGAGCCACAACCCCAACCCTCTTGCCTACATTTTTAAAGGAAGTTTTGCTGGGTATAATATTACTAGTTGGTTTTTATTAATTTTTTAAGCTTTTTTGTTATTTTCTAATTAATCTTTTAATGACAGCAGAATGCATTACAATTCATATTACACATATAGAGCACAATTTTTCATATCTCTGGTTGTATACAAAGTATATTCACACCAGTTCGTGTCTTCATACATGTACTTTGGATAATGATGTTCATCATATTCCACAATCATTTCTAACCCCCTGCCCCCTCCCTTTCCCTCCCACCCCTCTGCCCTACCTAGAGTTTGTCTATTCCTCCCATGCTCCCCCTCCCTAACCCACTATAAATCAGCCTCCTTATATTACAGAAAACATTCAGCATTTGTTTTTTGGGGATTGGCTAACTTCACTTAGCATTATCTTCTTCAACTTTACCCATTTACCTGCAAATGCCATGATTTTATTCTCTTTTATTGCTGAGTAATATTCCATTGTGTATATATGCCACATTTTTTTTTTATCCATTCATCTACTGAAGGGCATCTAGGTTGGTTAATTTTTTGGCTTCTTTTTTTAATATTTATTTTTTTAGTTGTAGTTGCATACAATACCTTTATTTTATTTACTTTTATGTGGTGCTGAGGATCGAACCCAGGGCCTCGCATGTGCTAGGTTAGCGCCACAACCCCTGCCCCAATTTTTTAGCTTTTTGAATATCATCATTCTACTCTATTCTGTCCTGCAGTTTCTGCTGAAAAATCCATTGACAACATTATCAAAGTTCCCTTGTATGGAACAAGTTGCTTTTCTCTTGGTGCTCTTATTTTTGGTTTTGTCTTAATTGTGTTCTTTGGGTTCCTTGAGTCTTCTCCAGATTTAGGGAGTTTTCAGCTACTTTTTTTAAAAATCAGCTTTCTGACCATTTTGCCTCTATTCTTCAATTCCCATAATGTACAAGCTGGTCTGCTTAATGGGACATCATAATTCCCTTAAGATTTTTTTCTCACTCTTTTTAATCTTTTTCAGTTTGCTTCTCTAATTGAATTATTTCCAGAGTCTTTGAACTTGCTGATTCTTTCTTCTGTTTGATCTAGTCTGGTGCTGATCTCTCTAATGAATTTTTTTCCTCAATGCAATTGGTGTGTTCTTTAGTTCCATAATTTGGCATTTTCTTACATTTTTTCTATGTCCTTGTGGAAATGCTCACTTCATTCATACACTGTTCTCTTGACATTGGTGAGGATCTTTAAGAGAGTTATTTTTAATTATCTGTCAGATAAATCATATAACTCCATTTCATTAAGGTTAGTTTCCGAAAACCAATCACTTTCCTTTGTTTAGAACATCTTTGACTGTTTTTCTTTTTTTATTTTTCATTTTTCTTTGACACTCTTGTCCTATATTGTCTGTATATTAGACAAAGTAGGTCCCTCTCCTAGTCTTCACGAACTGGCCTTGAACAGAAGACTCCACCAAGTAGCCTGGTCAGAGATTTTAGGGGCTTCTATCTTCTTAAGGGAAAATCAGGCAACTGCAGTTGTCTCCTCACTTTGTGCCAAACCAGTGTGTGGGGAGCTATGCCATCTACCAGCCCAGGATACCATCTGCATCTTCCCCTGTGCCAGACCTCTCAGAATTCTAAAACTGACAAGAGAGATGCTAGTTCTTTGAGCAGCCCCTGAGAAGTTGGGGTGTGGAATGAACAGATCAACTCTTTCCTTCCCCAGAAGGTAGGCAAGAACTGAGACATGTTATCTGCTAGCACTCTGCTGAACAGTGGAGGAGGACTGATGACATCTACCAGCCTGCTATTGCCTCCATCCTCCCTGAGCAGCAAGGCTATGCCAGACTCCTCAGACCTCAAGTTTGGTATGACAAAAGCCAGTCCTCTGAGGAGCCCACTCAGAAGATGGGGCAGTGGACCTGCAAATGATCCCCTCCCCTCTCTTGGGTGAGCCTGGGAGTTAAGAAATCCTGTGCTGGTCATGTAGCTCTACCAGGGGCAGAATCTCCAGCAAGAAGTTGTACTAAATCTGCCTTCAGGCTTCAGTGAGTCTGGTTTCATGTTCTCTTGGATGTAGAGGCTTTTTCAATTGCTTTCTGTTTTCTCACAAAGGAAATTTGCCATGAACTGTTACTGAATGGAAGTGTTTGGGGGAATGGGGAAGGGTCCAAGCCTTCCTACTCTACCACCTTGCTGATGTCACTTCCCTCCTTCATTTTTGAAGGATTTTTTTTTGCTAGGTATAGTGTTCTAGATTGACAACTTCTTTTTCTTTCTGTACTTTAAAAATGTTTGATGGGCTGGGGTTGTGGCTCAGTGGTGGAGTACTTGCCTAGCATGTGTGAGGCACTGGGCTTGATTCTCAGCACCACACACAAATAAATGAATAAAATAAAGGTTCATTATCATCTAAAAAATATTTTTTAAAAAAAAATGTTTCTTTGAATTTTCTAGCTTGCACGGTATCTGATAAGTTTGTTATACATAATCTTATGTTTGTTCCTCATAGGCAATTTCTTTTTCTCTTACCTTCAAGATTTCTTCTTTATCTTTGGTTTTCAACTGTTTAAATAAGATATGCCTAGACATATGTTTGTTTTGGCATACATCCTGCTGGTTGTTCTCTGAGCTTCTTGGATCTATGGTTTACTGTCGCCAATTATGGAAAATCCTCAGCCATTTTTCTTCAATTATTTTCTTCCTCATTCTTTCCTAGGATTCCAATTACAGTTATGTGAGACTGTGGTATGTTCCATTGCTCTTAAAGACTCTATTCTGTTCCCCCCTCCTTTTCTGCACTGTGCTTCAGTTGGTAGAACTTCTATTGACCTACCTTTAAAAAAATCAGATTCCTCCCTCAGCTGTGTCCAATCTACTAATGAGCCTGTTCTAAGCATTAGTGATCTCTGTTAACTATGATTTTGATTTTTAATATTTCTACTTGATTCTTCCATATAGTTTCCATTTCTGTTGCAATTAACCATATGGTTCATTATATAGTAGCTATTTTATTAATTAATTACTTTATTTATTTTCTTATTAATGTCCTGGGGATTAAACCCAGATTTACCACTGAGTTATATCCCTAGCCCTTTTATTTTTCATATTGAGGTAGGGTCTCACTAAGTTGCTTAGGGCCTGTAAAGTTGTTTATGCTAGCCTTGAACTTGCAATCCTCCTAAGTCAGCCTCCCGAGTTGCTGGGATTATAGGTATGCATCACTGCACCTGGCTAGACAGTTATTTTAAATTACTGATGGTTTCTTCTAACATCTTTGTCATATTTAAGTCTGGTTATAATTATTTGTTTTATATCATTGAGGTATGTTTTTTCTTGGCATTTTACATGCCTCCTAATTTTTGTTGAAATCTAGACACCTTGGATAACAAAAAAAAAGATATGAAGTTAAGTATTTTTGTGCATCAAGAGGACATGCTTTCCTTTGCATGAATTTATGATAATCTAGTCAATGTATTTGTCATTGCTATTATTACCCCCAATTCACTAGTGGTTTCAAATTCTTTTAATATCTTTGTTTAGGTAAGGGTTGGTTTGCCATGCTTGTTTTCTCAATGAATGATTCTTCCTTTGCTTTGAGTATTCTGTTTGCTTTCCATAGAAAATCTCTCTTGAAGACCTCCCAGCTGCATTCTTCTATTGTTTTTCCTTGGTTCTTATTATTTTGGTCTGGCCAGGTAGGAGTTATCACTAAGCCTCAATCTTGGACTGGCTTGGGTCTCTGAACCTTGGGTATGTGGCCTTCACAAGTACTCTTGCCTCTCCTCCAGCTGTAGTGGTAGGCCTAGCACACATTCCTCCCCTACCCCTAGAGGTAGTGCTTTTCTGTTACTGGTCCCTTTCCTAAACTGCAGTTTCCACAAGTACCCTAAGGCAACAGTTTTTGCTGCTTTTCTTTATGTAGATTAAAGTTTCTGTTCTACAGGGGAGATAGGGAAGGAAGGTCTGGACTGCTATTCCTCATTTCCAGCTAGAAAAACAAGGAAAAATTTCTTAGTACTTACCTCATCCTACCTGTGAGTGCCTTGGAGACATTCCTGGAGAAGTCTACAATTTGAAAACTCTCTAATTTTGCAAATACCTAGTAGTTTCACATTCTTACTAGCTTGTATTCAATCTTTAATGATTTGCTAAAATTTTTTTTCTTTTTAGCTTATGTGCCGTCTGGAATTGTTCATATTAGGGAAGTATAACTTGAGTCCTGTCTTTCCCAGAAGCCATCTGTTCTCCCCCAGATTCAAAATTACTTGGTTGTCCTGTGACCTCAGTTCTTTGACAAGTTCAAGAAAAGTCAGTATTTGTAGTTTGTCCAGATTTTTTTCCTCATCGTAAGGATGACTTTCTAGGTCTATATATCACTCAGAGAAACCTAAAGATGTCTCAATTAAAAACCTTTGAGAAGTGTGTGCTTGGACAGCACTGAGCAAAAGTCCCTCAGTTTATTTTGACACTGGGAAAAAATACCTTTTACACAAAGTTAGGATTAAGATAATAGTATAAAGTAAAGTCACTAGGGTGAGTGTGGGGTGAGAAAGTATTATAGGCAAGTGATGGTAATAGGCAAGGCTTCAGAGAAAAGAGAATACAGTATATTGGAGGATTTCAAAGTTAAGCAGAATAATTTCAGAAACAAATTCACAGCCTAGATATTATATTGATATCAAATGTTATAATGACTTGGACACCACCTACATAGGAATATTGTTTTAAAACCATGCTTGGTTGAATCAAAATTTTGATTACCTAAAAATCATTGATAACTCTACTCCTGGAAGTGTCAACCACAGCAATTCTCTAAACAGCTGGAGCTAACTAGCACGCTGAAACATGGCTTCACAGTGGATAAAAATATTTTATTTCTATCATCACCCCAACAGTTTCCTAATCTCCTGACTACTATTACCATGTATCCTTAGGTTCTAGGTCTTACCACCTCATTTTGCAAAGTATGTTTAAAACATAAGGAATAGGGAGGCAGGTGACAGATAAAATAAGGACTTTAGCTCCTGCTGAGTGATGAAAGAATAGGATTAAATTCTGTGGATCCAATGCTGCATTCTACAACAGTCCAAAAGTTGATTTCTTTTTTTTTTTTAGTAATAGGTGGGTACAATATCTTTATTTTATTTTTATGTGGTGCTGAGGATTGAGCCCAGTGCCTCACGCGTGGTAGGCGAGCGCTCTACCTCTGAACCACAACCCCAGCCCACCAAAAGTTAGTTTCTCAAAAGTATCTTTTTTTAAAATATTTTTTTTTTTTTAGTTGTCAGTGAACCTTTTTATTTATTTATATGCGGTGCTGAGAAACGAACCAAGTGCCTCAGGCATGCTAGGCAAGTACTCCACCACTAAGCCACAACCCTAGCCCCTTCAAAAGTGTCCTTACTTTGTTTCCTCTTCAATCTGGTTGGCATGTTTGGAAATATTTTTTATTCTGCTCTCATATCAAATGACAATTTTTGGTAACTGTAGGCTTCTAAGAGAAACCCTTTCTCCTCAGGGATTTGAAGAAATGTCTCCAGTAACTTCTAATGCTGCTGGAAAGAATAATAATGGTGACAGAAAGTATTAATCATTTTAATTTTCTTTCCTCTGTAAGTTTTTGGCCCTTCTTGTGTTTGTTTTTGGTAGTTATGTATTTTTTTTCTCATTGAAATGCTCAGTGAGTAGAGCATTTCAATGTAGATATTAATCTAGGAAACTTTATTGTACTTTTGTAATTCCTTTATTTTTCCCTTCTGTACAATTCATGAATTGAATGACATTTCTTAAACTGATCATCTAAGTATGTTATATTTTGTCTCCTTAAATTTTCATTTTTCTCTTCCTTAAGAGATTTTCTTGCTCTTATCTCACTATCTTTATGACATATGTGTGTATCCTTAATTCAGACATCATATATAATATTGAGGCCATCTTTCTCATGCATTAAATGCTATTTTAAATAGATTTACTATCTTCTATCTTTTTGAAGATACTTTACTTTTTGCTCTGTTTGAAAAAAAAAGTTTTTGTTCCCTCTATTATTTTCTTCACATTTCTTCCTTCTAATTGTTTAGGTTTTTCTCTTTCATGATAGATATATTCTTCAACTCCACTGTGATTCCCTAATTGTTCATATTTAATAAAGGCATTACAAAGTTGACTATAAAGTCTGTGTATATGATTCATTTCTTGGCTGGATGGGCTTCAATGTGCCAGTGGGATAATAAACTAATCTTTTCACTGGGGACTGCCAAATATCAATTCTTGGAATTCTTTCCTTTGGGGGGTCACGCATTTCTCTAAAGGAAAATCAGTTAACTTGCTACCACTTTCTAAGAGAAGGCCAGAGAAAGAGCGCAGGAGAGTCACATTTTTCAGAATATAGACTGAAATTCCCACTTAAATCCCAAACCTCACCCATATCCTCTACTTTGGTTGGAGTCAACAAAGTCTAGACTTTTCTGATTCAGTTTTAAGAAAAATATACCTCCACACTCTTTCACTTCTGTGAGGTAGAAGCAGTATAATCACCTGGCTATGAAGGGTGTGGAAAGGGTCCCTGGCAGTCTAATAATTGATTACAAAATTCTAATCCCGGGCTGGGGATGTGGCTCAAGCGATAGCGCGCTTGCCTGGCATGCATGCGGCCCGGGGTTCGATCCTCAGCAGCACATACAAACAAAGATGTTGTGTCCGTCGAAAACTAAAATAAATTTTCTCTCTCTAAAAAAAAAAAAAGAAAATTCTAATCCCACTTTTTAGCCCAGCACACCCCCTCTATGTTGCCCTGTACCTGCTAAATTTAGGTCTATAGTTTTTTCAGAGGTATTGTAATATTAATAGTTCACTTCTTTTTAGTATTGTCCTCAGTAAGCAAGTTATTATTTTTTTTAATTTACCATCTTGACCATTTTTTTAATATCTTTATTTTTATTTTTATGTGGTGCTGAGGATGGAACCCAGTGCCTCACGCATGCCAGGTGAGCATGCTACCACTTCAGCCACATCCCCAGCCCCATCAGTAGGCAATTTAAATTGTAGTTTCTGGTAGTGTTCTAAGTACTTTAATACCCTTTAAATTATTTTATTGCTATTTTAGTGGAGAGCTTGAAAGAAAAAGAAATAAATATAGTTATTTGCCATGTCTGTATTTCACGGTCTTGAAAATCTTTTAATATTTTTTTAGTTGTGGATGAACACAAAATCTTAATTTTATTTATTTATTTTTATGTGGTGCTGAGGATCGAACCCAGAGCCTCATGCATGCGAGGCAAGCACTCTACCACTGAGCTACAACTCCAGCCCTTCAAAATGTTCTAAAGCAGTGACTTTAAAACTTCATTAATAAAGGTCCACATTAAGAAATAGGCTTTAGGGCTGGGGTTGTGGCTTAGTGGTAGAGTGCTTGCCTAGCATGCATGAGGCTCTGGGTTAGATCCTCAGCACATATAAATGTAAAATAAAGACATTGTGTCCACCTAAAACTAAAAAAAAAAAAAAGTAAATATTAAAAAAAGAAATAGGCTGTTGAGAGCCACAGCCGAAGGGGCCCCAGCAAACTTCCAGCTGCCGGCTGATGATTGGCTCACAGCGGCCCCAGCAACATCTAGCTGATTGGCTCCTCGGCCCCAGCAACATCTAGCTGATTGGCTCCTCTGCGGTGATGCTCATTGGACTGTTTCCCTGCCCTTTCAGACCACGGAGCTGCT